GTTAGCTAATAAATGAACAACTCAATGTAGTAACCATATGTGCATATTTATTTACTTATTCATTCATTTATTTGCTGTTAGACATACTCTATGTAGTAACCAAGAACATTTATTTTACATTTTTTATTCTTTATTTTATTATTTTATTTTATGTATTATTTTATTTTATTCTTTAATTTATGACAGTTATTATAATTTAGCTATTAAAAGAACAACTCAATGTAGTAACCATATGTACATATTTATTTATTTATTCATTCATTTATTTGCTGTTAGACATACTCTATGTATTAACCAAGACAATGTATTTTTAATTTTAAATTCTTTATTATTTTATTTGATGTACTATTTTACTTTCTGTAGTACATTTTATTTTATGTCATTCAATAATTTATGGCAGTTATTACAATTTATGGTAGCTATTAGAATAATTTATGGTAGCTAATAATAAAGGACTCAATGTAGTAGCTATATGTACGTACTTATTTATTTATTTATTTACTCACTTACTTACTGTTAGAAATACTCTATGTAGTATCCAAGACATTTTATTTTAAATTTTAAATTATAAATTCTTTATTTTATTTTATGACAGTTATTATAATCTATGGTAGCTATTAAAATAATTACTCAATGTAGTAGCCATAATTATGTACATACATATTTATTTGTTTGTTTGTTTGGCATTAGAAATACTCTATGTACTAACCAAGAAATAAATGCTTTATTTGTATTATTTTTGATGGCAGTTTGATCCCGTGCCCTTCTCTCTCTCCCACTCCACTTCCTGTCAATACTTAACTGTCCTATCACAATTTTTTTACCCTTACCCTTTATAGCTAAAAACAAAGAACATACTGGTGTCCTCTACTCTTAAGGCTACTAAAATGAACCAAACATCATAGTGCATGATGATTACATTATAAGCCAGAGTTTACACAGAGATCAGATTCGTCACATGCAGGGGTCGAGCTGACCTGTGCGTCTACAGGACGTCTTTCCATGTATCTGGCGCAAGAGTATTAGACGTGGCTCAAACTCTGCAAATCCCCACATGATGCAGCAGCTGCAAACGTCTTGAACCTCTGGAAGTCACACTTCATTCTGAAGCTATAAGATCCCCACTTCTCTCCCTGTGTAACTGCCAGACACACTAGCTTCTGTACAATGGCACTCAACGGTGGGTAAAATGAGCCCAATTAGCACCACAGACTGCTGGAGAACAATGCACTGCTTTGTGAAACACTACATACCCAGTGTGTGTTTACAGAAGAAAGCCATGCAGTTTCGCAGAGAGTTATGTTTATTACCTTTGCCTGTGTTCTGACTTGTAAAAAGAGATTGTAAAACACTGCTGTATGAATCACCAGCACTGAGTGGGTCGTCTTCTCACAGATTATTATTAACGCAAATTTTTGTATGATGACCCCTTTTAAAGGATTACCCTAAAAAAAAAAATCTGTCATCATGTACTTTATTATGTATGTTTTTTTATTCTAAGTAGAAAAGAACTGAGATTTTTTTGACAAAAAAATTAAAAAACACCATAAAAGTCCGAAGTCATCATTTACTGATAATCTTGCCCTCCGCATTCGCACATATTCAAACTGGCACGTTGCATTATGGAATATAGTGCACAAGTCAAGGTATGGAAAATAGTGGCTAGGACATTCAGCAAAATATTTCCTTTTATGTTCCATGGGTTAAGAATGTCATATTATAGCTCAAACTAAAGCCATTAAAAAAATGTCATTACTTGAAATAAAAGAAACATATATAGACAAAACTAAAAACTGTCCAAATTTAAATTAAATATAAATAAACTATTTTAAATATTAATAAAACTATAACAACACCACATGAGAGTAAATGATGACAGAATGGTCACTAAACAAACCTTTTAAGAACATTATCACTGACGTTTCTGTGATAATGTTAACTGTGATCTGATGCTGATATATTTTTTCCTGAAGAAATGAATCCACTGGATTTCGTCCTCAAGGACTGAAACACCTTCTAATGTGTTTGCTTTCAGCGGTAATACATAAATGAGCTTACAGTGTGGTTCATACGGTGGTGGCGGATCTCCACACGGGATACACTCCATATCCTGGAATCCACTCAACTTCGTCTTTCTGTAAAATCTGAAAGAATAAAATGCATATTCATTTATTTGCAATAATACAATTATAAATAAGGCATTATTTCTTTTTTGGGTTTAGCAATCAAGTCAAAATTGTAATTAATAACATCATATAACAATTCATTATTCAAATAATATTGCATATTCAAAAGTTCGGGGTCAGTTTTTTAAAGGAGTTTTTTAAACGATTAATAGCGATTAATCGCATCCAAAATAAGTCTTTGTTTACATAATATACTATATGTGTGTGTGTACTGTGTATATTTATTATGTATATATAAATACACACAGATACATGTATATATTTCGAAAATATTTACATGTATGTATTTATATTCATATAATTTATATGATATATAAATATATTTAAAATATAAACATCATTTATTTTTCTTAAATATATACATGCATGTGTGTGTATTTATATACATAATAAATATACATAGTACACATACATATATTATGTAAACAAATACTTTTATTTGGGATGCGATTAATCGCGATTAATCATTTGACAGCACTAATTCAAACAGAAGATTATTTTAAATTGCAATAATATTTCATAAACATTGTTGTTTATACTGTCTGTTTGATCAAATAAATGCACCCTTGGTGACCATACGATACTTTTTTTCCCTAACCCCAAACTTTTAAACAATATTTGCTGAGAAAAACCACCAACTGAATATAATTCAAAGACATACCATTATTGTTGCAGGCGATTAAACAACTGGATAAACAAAACGTGGCTTTAGAAGTCAAATACAATTTAAAGTCTACAGTAATCCATTTTACTAGACTTTAGACTTAGGGGTGTTTACAAATGTGATTATTTTTTATTTGTTGGATTATGTACGCATGCATTCCATCTTGTTGCTTTTCAATTGAATTTCTCTGATAGCAGGAAAATCTCTCATCAGAAAATGTACATTGGGGCAAGAGTTATTTGACAGCATTAACTAATGAATCAGAGAAAACTATCCAATACAACATGAGAAATATCCCAGCATCAGTAAAAGCCCTAAGAACACATTTTTCTAAAATGATGCAGATGAACTTTGAAGGTAATGTGAAGAGTCGCCTTCAGCATGTCGTACTGTGCCAAAGCACTTAATTATGGGTAATCAAAAGTTATTAAGAAACTTATCTGGTGGGAGCAGGATGCTGCTGTGGGGAAACTAGTAACTCTTGCAGCGATAGCGAAAAGCAGGTCTTTAAAAAACTGACATGTTTTATCTTCTAGGGCATGTCTGGGCCTTGAGTTTATTTCCCTGACCTGGACTTTAAACTCAGAAATGTTCGGCTGCGCTTGTGGCTGGAGGACAAAAGTGCAGGTAACTGCACTTAAAAATAAAGGTTATTTTTTTGGCATTGATGAAGAACCTTAAACACCCATGGAATCTTTCAGCTCCACAAAAGGTTCTTTATAGTGGAAAAAAACATAAAAAAATAAAGTTCCAAAAGGAGTTTTTCACAGCAATGCCAAAGAATCTTTAATTGAGCAGTTCCTAAAAGAACTTATTTTTTTCTTTTCTTTGTGCACTCTAAAAAATGCAGGGTTAAATACAACCCAGTGCTGGGTAAAATAGGGACAAACCCAGCAATTGGGCTGTTTTGACCCAGCGGTTGGGTTAAATGTTTAACCCAACCTTCTGGGTAGTAACCCAATCGCTGGGTCAAAACAACCCAATTGCTGGGTTTGTCCCTATTTTACCCAGCACTGGGTTGTATTTAACCCAGCATTTTTAGAGTGTGTAAAGAACATTCTAATAATCTAAAGAAACTTTTTTAAACTATAAACAGAGCATGGGTAGATTACTTACAAATTGTAATCCGTTACTGATTCCAAATTACATGACAAAAATTGTAGTTAGTAATGTAAACCATTACATTACACATTTTAGGTGTTATAATCAGACTACTTTTCGAAAAATGCTGGGTTGTATTTAACCCAGCATTTTTCGAAAAGTAGTCTGATTATAACACCTAAAATGTGTAATGTAATGGTTTACATTACTAACTACAATTTTTGTCATGTAATTTGGAATCAGTAACGGATTACAATTTGTAAGTAATCTACCCATGCTCTGTTTATAGTTTAAAAAAGTTTCTTTAGATTATTAGAATGTTCTTTACACACTCTAAAAATGCTGGGTTAAATACAACCCAGCATTTTTCGAAAAGTAGTCTGATTATAACACCTAAAATGTGTAATGTAATGGTTTACATTACTAACTACAATTTTTGTCATGTAATTTGGAATCAGTAACGGATTACAATTTGTAAGTAATCTACCCATGCTCTGTTTATAGTTTAAAAAAGTTTCTTTAGATTATTAGAATGTTCTTTACACACTCTAAAAATGCTGGGTTAAATACAACCCAGTGCTGGGTAAAATAGGGACAAACCCAGCAATTGGGCTGTTTTGACCCAGCGGTTGGGTTAAATGTTTAACCCAACCTTCTGTAAATACACACAGATACATGTATATATTTCGAAAATATTTACATGTATGTATTTATATTCATATAATTTATATGATATATAAATATATTTAAAATATAAACATCATTTATTTTTCTTAAATATATACATGCATGTGTGTGTATTTATATCCATAATAAATATACATAGTACACATACATATATTATGTAAACAAATACTGTTATTTGGGATGCGATTAATCGCGATTAATCATTTGACAGCACTAATTCAAACAGAAGATTATTTTAAGTACATTAGCTGCAGTTTTTAAGTCGATAAACATTGTTGTTTATACTGTCTGTTTGATCAAATAAATGCACCCTTGGTGACCATACGATACTTTTTTTCCCTAACCCCAAACTTTTAAACAATATTTGCTGAGAAAAACCACCAACTAAATATAATTCAAAGACATACCATTATTGTTGCAGGCGATTAAACAACTGGATAAACAAAACTTGGCTTTAGAAGTCAAATACAATTTAAAGTCTACAGTAATCCATTTTACTAGACTTTAGACTTAGGGGTGTTTACAAATGTGATTCTTTTTTATTTGTTGGATTATGTACGCATGCATTCCATCTTGCTGCTTTTCAATTGAATTTCTCTGATAGCAGGAAAATCTCACATCAGAAAATGTACATTGGGGCAAGAGTTATTTGACAGCATTAACTAATGAATCAGAGAAAACTATCCAATACAACATGAGAAATATCCCAGCATCAGTAAAAGCCCTAAGAACACATTTTTCTAAAATGATGCAGATGAACTTTGAAGGTAATGTGAAGAGTCGCCTTCAGCATGTCGTACTGTGCCAAAGCACTTAATTATGGGTAATCAAAAGTTATTAAGAAACTTATCTGGTGGGAGCAGGATGCTGCTGTGGGGAAACTAGTAACTCTTGCAGCGATAGCGAAAAGCAGGTCTTTAAAAAACTGACATGTTTTATCTTCTAGGGCATGTCTGGGCCTTGAGTTTATTTCCCTGACCTGGACTTTAAACTCAGAAATGTTCGGCTGCGCTTGTGGCTGGAGGACAAAAGTGCAGGTAACTGCACTTAAAAATAAAGGTTATTTTTTTGGCATTGATGAAGAACCTTAAACACCCATGGAATCTTTCAGCTCCACAAAAGGTTCTTTATAGTGGAAAAAAACATAAAAAAATAAAGTTCCAAAAGGAGTTTTTCACAGCAATGCCAAAGAATCTTTAATTGAGCAGTTCCTAAAAGAACTTATTTTTTTCTTTTCTTTGTGCACTCTAAAAAATGCAGGGTTAAATACAACCCAGTGCTGGGTAAAATAGGGACAAACCCAGCAATTGGGTTGTTTTGACCCAGCGATTGGGTTACTACCCAGAAGGTTGGGTTAAACATTTAACCCAACCGCTGGGTCAAAACAGCCCAATTGCTGGGTTTGTCCCTATTTTACCCAGCACTGGGTTGTATTTAACCCAGCATTTTTAGAGTGTGTAAAGAACATTCTAATAATCTAAAGAAACTTTTTTAAACTATAAACAGAGCATGGGTAGATTACTTACAAATTGTAATCCGTTACTGATTCCAAATTACATGACAAAATTGTAGTTAGTAATGTAAACCATTACATTACACGTTTTAGGTGTTATAATCAGACTACTTTTCGAAAAATGCTGGGTTAAATACAACCCAGCGCTGGGTAAAATATGGACAAACCAAGCAACTGGGTTGTTTTGACCCAGCGATTGGGTTAAATGTTTAACCCAACCTTCTGGGTAGTAACCCAACCACTGGGTTTGTCTATATTTTACCCAGCGCTGGGTTGTATTTAACCCAGCATTTTTAGAGTGTGTAAAGAACATTCTAATAATCTAAAGAAACTTTTTTAAACTATAAACAGAGCATGGGTAGATTACTTACAAATTGTAATCCGTTACTGATTCCAAATTACATGACAAAAATTGTAGTTAGTAATGTAAACCATTACATTACACATTTTAGGTGTTATAATCAGACTACTTTTCGAAAAATGCTGGGTTAAATACAACCCAGCGCTGGGTAAAATATGGACAAACCAAGCAACTGGGTTGTTTTGACCCAGCGATTGGGTTACTACCCAGAAGATTTTTTAGAGTGTACTTACCAATCGCTGGGTCAAAACAACCCAGTTGCTTGGTTTGTCCATATTTTACCCAGCGCTGGGTTGTATTTAACCCAGCATTTTTTAGAGTGTACTTACTTACTTTTAGATACTAGTTACTTTCAGATTACTTTTGACCTATCTCGTTTTTCACATTGATTTAAATAGGATAATCTTGTACCATATTGATATAAAATACAAAGAGTATAAGAAAATATATTCCATTTGTTGTTATCAACAACATGACGTGCATTAAACATTATATTACGCAAAGGTACGAACTGAAGGGGTTTATGAGTTCAATAAAAAGCTAATAATGAATTAAATCATAACAATGTTAAATTAAAACAAATAATTTTCAAATGAATCAGAATAAAACACTTACTGAAAAAAAAATTCATATTTTATTTGTTTACCTGCATGTCATGTGACTATAACCAACGTCAGAGAACCATGAACCACATGCGAATGTGAAACTTCATTTTTAAAACTTCTATAAATTACTTCATAAAAAAATAATCTTGTACCATATTGATATAAAATACAAAGAGTATAAGAAAATATATTCCATTTGTTGTTATCAACAACATGACGTGCATTAAACATTATATTACGCAAAGGTACGAACTGAAGGGGTTTATGAGTTCAATAAAAAGCTAATAATGAATTAAATCATAACAATGTTAAATTAAAACAAATAATTTTCAAATGAATCAGAATAAAACACTTACTGAAAAAAAAATTCATATTTTATTTGTTTACCTGCATGTCATGTGACTATAACCAACGTCAGAGAACCATGAACCACATGCGAATGTGAAACTTCATTTTTAAAACTTCTATAAATTACTTCATAAAAAATGTACATATTAGGTGAAAGAGGATCAGATGACAAAAAAGTTGGTGAATTTGTGAATCTGTGCATTTGAATGTGTTTGAAATACAAACAAAAGTAATACATGGTAAAATAACTGACTGAGTTATAATTCAAATAAAAATGTATATGTTCATCAGTAGTTGATGCAATGTCGAAACAATTCTTAAACCTGAAATGATTTTTGTAAATGCAGTGGTCAAATGCTCTGTAGCCACATGACTAATGAATGAGTGAATGTCCACAAATCTGGAAGACATTCTGAGCATATATAAGCGGCATGCTATTTTAGAAAGGAAAATTTCAAAGATGAAAAAGAGGAATTAGGAGAATCAATAAATTTTGAATAAATTATTGCTATTGTGTAAATAATATTAATCCATAACAAAGTAACTGTAGTCGGATTATGAGTATTTTAATATGTAATTTAATCTAAATACAAGTACTTAATTTTTGTAATCTGATTACATAACCTAGATTACTTGTAATCAGTTACTGCTCAGCTCTGACTATAAAGAATCTTTTGTGGAATATAAAGATTCCGTGGATGTTGAAGGTTCTTCGTGGAACCATCAATGCCAATATACTGTCATGTGAAAAAGTTAGGACACCCTATTGAATTCCATGGTTTTCTGTATCAGGACATCATAAGCACAATATTTTTGTTAAATAAATAATGACACAGTGTGATATGTCATGTGTTGTTGTTCATCTGAGGTTTTATTTTCAACATTTTAAGACCTGCCAAGGACCAGATAATTTTCACTATGTTCTGATATGGAAAACCATGGAATTCAATAGGGTGTCCTAATTTTTTCACATGACTGTAGATCGTTTATTTTTAAGAGTGTAGATTTTTAAAATGTTCTTCACACTAAAAAAAAAAACAATGGAAAGAACTGCTCACTAACTGTAGACAAGAGTGTAGATTTTTAAAATGTTCTTCACACTAAAAAAAAAAACAATGGAAAGAACTGCTCACTAAAAGGTTTTTGGGGAACCCAAAATGCTTCTCCTACAGCATCGCTGTGAAAACCCCCTTTTGAACCTTTATTATATTCTCACTTAAGCTTGTGGTTTCTGAAAACGCCCATCATCCTTTATTCTATACAACTGACTCACCCGGGCAGGCAGTCTCCGCATACGGCATTGCTCGTGGTGGAGCAGTTCCCCTTCTGGAAGCGGTTGAGGAGGGAACAGTCCAGACAGGGCTTGCATTTCTGCAGGCTGCGGTCCTCTTTGAAGCGACTGGTTCTGCAGGGCACACACTGGGCATCCTCCCCATAGCCAAAGCCACATTCCTGCGAGGATTAACGGAAGATATCTCACTGCCGAGGAAGGGAAGGGCGAGGGAGAGCCGTGCTAAAGAAAAGCACCAATGTGGACTAACAAGAGGCCGAGATGAAATAATGATCACAGTGTGTGTGAGATCCCCCCGCTGAACAAAGGCCAAGCTTCTTTTCAGAGAGTCTATCTTACACAGGCAATAATCTCCCTGACTCTCACGGGATCAATGAACAGCCTTCTGCTCCGGGCCCCCGAAGGGCTCCGCATTTGAATCAGAAAGGCCCACGGGGACGCCCATTGTTGGTTTACTGGGAGTTTATTGCAGAGGCTTTGTCAGGCCTCTCTTCGGCTAAAGTGTGCGTGAGAGATATTGATATTGAGAGGTTTTGGTAAGCGTAACGCGGAAAGAGAAGAAATCTCTTAAGCTAAAAGATTTACTGAGATTGCAGATTTTACGTTTTAGTAACACAAAAGATTAAAGTTTGCATTTATAATGTTTGCACAATAAACTTTGCGTTCTCTGTTAGTCTCTAACCACAGAATCAGGAATGCACCCACATTTCAAAATTAAATGAAAATGATAACATTTAATTATAAAGTAAATCAAATTTTTGCCACTCAATTTTATATTTAATTTTATAATTTTACATCTTATAGATAAATTATACATTATGAATAAATCATAAATTCATTAAAAAATCTAGTATTTTTTTAAGTTAAATTAAATGCATTAAACTGACCAAAACTGACAGTAAAATGTTTTAAATATTACAAACAATTTAAATAAATGCATTTGAACTTTCTCTTTAACAAAAACGTTCACAGTTTCCACAAAAAAAAAAGCAGCTGTTTTCAACATTGATAATAACAATAATAAATGTTTCTCAAGCAGCAAAATAGCATCTTTGAATAATTTCTAATGGATCGTGTGACACTAATGACATAAAACATCACAGGAATAAATTCCATTTTTAAATATATTAAATATTAATATTACAAATAAAAAGTTGTTTTAAATTGTGACAAAATTTTGCAAAATTACTGTTTTACTGTAGTTTTGATCAAATAAATGCAGCCATGGTTAGTATAAAATACTTCTTTCAAAAACATTCTAAATCTTAGAACATTAAAGTGCACATATAATAGAAATTGAAGTATAAATGTGAGTGTGTGTGTGCGTGCATGCGTGTGTGCGTGCGTGTGTGTGTGTGTGGCTAATTGTAATTGTTAAAAATAGAAATGTGTAAAATGAAGTTGACTTAAAAGTGACAAAATCTATACAGTAGATGTCAGTTCCTCCAAATGACTTTAGGCCTCATGTTCTTTTAGGAAAATTTATTGAACAGGGTGAAACATGACCCAGACATGTTCTTGACAGGTTTCGTGAAATTCACCCCGAAAAGTGATCTGTGTTCATACGCAAATCCAAATCATGAAAGAAACCTGAAGAGAGGTCTCTATGTCTAGCTGTGGGGTCGAGAAGAATTCTCAGCGCTCTTGAATAAAACAAGACAACACCCTTTGCATTGTTCCCTAAATACAGGCCTATTTCATTCCAATACAAGATCGAAAACAGTGCAGTTTGGGTAATAATAAGAGGCAGATTGAACAGTACACATGCAACGTCTAAGCAAAACACGACAAAGAGACCACAGGGAAAGTATCTGAGCATAACTAAATGAGGATTATTACTAGTGGTCGACCGATATTTGGCATTTTTCAAATATCGGTATCGGCCGATTAGTTTTTCTGTTTGGCCGATGCGTTCGAGGCAGGACTTTTATTTTGACGCGCCTGAGCACACAGTGCTCACATTCTCCCTCTTGTTTGCCATCGTCGTTAACAATTCTGTCTAATATGGACAGAAGTCTGTCTAATAATCCGATAGAACTGTGAAACAAAGAAATTAAAATGTATACAAAAAGAATTATAACGATTGCTTTTATATTATTAGTAATAGAAAGGCAAACATTATAATACTTTCTCGTTTGCTGTCAGCATTCAGCAAATACACATTTACATAATTTAAACAAATCTTTGAATGGCTAATGAAAATTTAATTTCACAACCTTGCAAACGTAGTCGTATCCAGTTGTGAGATCTTGTGAAGTGTGCATGTGACCTGCATGATTGCGTGTTCTCTGCGTGAAATTCGGTCCGTGCAAATTGAATGCTTTAAACATTCGTGATTTCAAATTATGCTGCGCTTCATGCTTTTTCCCACTGTCATATTCATGTCATTTTCACTGTGTGCTGTATGTTAAATGAGTGTTACCTTGGCTTTATTTGAAAAAATATGATTTCCAATGCACACAAACTTCCCAGAATACTGAGTGCTCTGTTGGTTACAGTTTACTTCCTTTTTAATTATATTTTTATTAAATATTTATTTATTTGTGGAAAATACTTTGTCATCTAAAGTATAAGTATGTTTATTTTACAAATTTAGTTTTTAATCCATTTTCAAATTATTTCAAATTTCTTAAATATTAATTAAAATAAATACATTCATCGGCTTTATATCGGCCACCCTGCTTTCCAAGATATCGGCATCGGCTGTCAAAAAAACAATATTGGTCGACCACGAATTATTACAATAGAACAGAATACATCTTTATGTAAACACTAGTATTTTTTTTTTCAGGCTCCAGGATTTAAACTGAAATCTTAAGTGCCAGTTAATTAGCATTACTCAGAACAGCCTTTCCACCCACTCCAATAAACAATAGCAGTCTTTTCAAAACTCTACTGACAGTAATCAATCTGGAATACACTTGTTTGTTTTTAATCCTTTCCACATTGATATAATTCTTGGGAATCTTGCGGGGATCCATTCAGCTTTCACTGAGCCAGATTTCTCAAGTGAAGCAAAGCTTTATGGAATTCAAATAATGCCTTGTGCAACTATCCAACAGAATTCATCAATCAAGACATTTCTCAATGAAACCCACCAGCAATGTGACACTAAATCAAAACCCAGAGTTTCCAGTCTAGTTCTGACTAAAAGTTCTCATGTTCTCTCTTGATTCGTGTCAGCTAGAGGAAATTCGTGCAAAGATGAAAATTCTGTCATCATTTGCAAACTTCATTATGAGAGCGAATGCAGAATATCTGGAATCAACTGATGCAAATGAGTTTTGACACACAGGGTGCAGCAAGATTTCTGCTGAATGACTTAGAGTTTGTTTCTCACACAAAGCTATTGTATGGCATCAGACGACTAGGAACGTAGTGCACACAAGTCATCTTGATTGCTTTTAAGGTACTTTTATAGTCCTGTATTTCACAGTCTGGTTCAATGTACATTTTTCAAAAATCTCTTTTTGGGTTCCACAGAAAGAAAAAAAACTATTGTTTTAAAAGTGCAAATTTATTTTACACAAGTTTATTTTTATATGATCAAAACAATAAAAATATCGACAATTTAAAATAACCATTTTCTATTTTAGTATAAACTACCAGTCACAGGTTGTAAAATAATTAATACTGTAAAATAATATTATTACTATTATAACAATATAAAAATAAAATTATAATATAATAAAATATATTTTTTATTTATAAAAGTAATAATAATACTGTAAAATTGTAATATTGTAAAATATTGTTACAATTTAAAAAGTTTATATTTTAATATTTATTTTAAAATATATAATTAATTAAATATATAAATATATAATTAATTTATATATAAATGTGTAATTTATTCCAGTGATGGCAGAGCTGAATTTTTAACAGCCAACAGTCTTTAGAGTCACATGCTCAGTTATAATCAGCTATTATTGGTCCTCAATTATTACTGGTTATTATCAAAGTTGAAAATTTTATATTTTTGTGGAAATTATGATATACAGTGGGGCAAAAAAGTATTTAGTCAGCCACCAATTGTGCAAGTTCTCCCACTTAAAAAGATGAGAGAGGCCTGTAATTTTCATCATAGGTATACCTCAACTATGAGAGACAAAATGAGAAAAAAAATCCAGAAAATCACATTGTAGGATTTTTAAAGAATTAATTGGTAAATTCCTCGGTAAAATAAGTATTTGGTCACCTACAAACAAGAAAGATTTCTGGCTCTCACAGACCTGTAACTTCTTCTTTAAGAGCCTCCTCTGTCCTCCACTCGTTACCTGTATTAATGGCATCTGTTTGAACTCATTATCAGTATAAAAGACACCTGTCCACAACCTCAAACAGTCACACTCCAAACTCAAGTTCAACAGCATTTATTTGTAATATAAATCTTTTGTAGCATTATAAATGTCCTTACTGTGACTTTTGGGTAAGTTCATGTGTCCTTAGAATAAAAGTTTTTTTTTATTTTTTTTTTTTATTTACTGCAAATTTTTGAATCGTACAGTATTGTGGTTTCCACAAAAATACTAAGCAGCACAACTGTTTTCAATATGGATAATAAGAAATGTTTCTTGAGCACCAAATCTAAATGACATCACATAAATAATATATAACAGTTATTGTAAATTATAATAATAATATGACAATTTTAACTGTAATTTTGATCAAATAAATGCAGCCTTGGTTAGCATAAAACACTTCTTTCAAAAACACTAAAAAGTTAACTTTTTTTAAAAGAAAAAAATTAATGAGTGCCCCTTGAAGACTTCTTGACATCTTAGAAATCCGACCTAAGATGCTTCTTCAACTTTATAAACAACACGATCTGTAACCGTGATCCATTAAACAAACACATCTCCTCAAACAATCCCGTTCCCACCAGTCGCATTCCAGCAGAGGAGCGTCATGTGGAGAAAAGTGAGAGGACCTTTGTGGTTTGATATCACCCTGTACTATTGTTTTTTTCCCAGCTGCCCCTTCCCAAGTCAGGTCACTCTTACCCACCTGCATTTCCACCACACTGAGCTGGATTAGAGAAGAGGCTCAAATATCATTAACGTGGAGATCGGCTTCAAACAGGGGCCTTCATTCAACACCGCGATCCAGTTTCCCAGCTTGGGCACACATGGATTACTGGCCTGCGTGAGAGAGCCAGTGA